GAGAAAATGTAAAAATAATATATGTCCAAATATTGCGTTTTAACTTCAATTTAGAATTTGGTTTAAACATTTTAGTTTTACCATTCACTGAATTTGGAGTATAATAGACTTTAGTTAACAAAAGTAATATTCCTGTCATTCGAAATTACTTAATGCCTCTTCTAGTCAACTACTGTGCCCATTGGAATCTCCCTCCTCTCCAGAAGCCTGATGGTCTCAGCATGGGCTCTACCACCTGCCCATGGTCTCAGTGACTTGTGTCCTGTTCAGATTTCTTTGCAATCCCTTTGTATTTGAAAATTAGGAGTAGAGGAGTGCCTATTGCTCTTGGATGGTATCATTTATTCTTATTATCAATTATGTATACGTTAACAAGGTGATTCAAATTTTAACATCATCCGTGTCACAGTATGATACTATTACAGATTTATGAACTTTATTACACATGCATACCCATAAAGGGTTAAGTGTACACAAAGTAAACACTAATTTTACAATATAGTACTATCAATACAACAGAAAACAGTATATATAACAACACACACAATTAATACTTCATAATAAATAAATAAGTAAATAAATGAACAAATAAATATGTATCATGGATGAGCACATGAATGGTGATTGTGATATACGCGTCCATTGTTTATGTCATATATCACACCCTTCTATGTTATAAATACATTTATGAATAAATTCTGCTACAATTTCAATTTCTTTATTTTCACAAGACATACAATATTGGAAAACAAGGAATCGTCCTCCATGTTGAAAAGGTGTTTAATTGGATTGCCGTGTGATTCAAGTTTATCGAGCATTTGCTTTCTATATATACTGTATTTTTTACATGAAAGCATATTATATGTTTTTCGTTTTCTATTAAATTGCAAACCTCTCAAATTCTTTCATCGATCTTTAATTTTGGGCGTTCGTTTCTACAGATCTACCTGTTTACATGTATTATTAATCACCCTATGCAGACAGAGCCTGTGGGAAATATTGGGTGCGGAGCAAATGAGCGGAGGGTGCGGAGCTAACGGTTATTTTTGAATTTAAATTTGGGATATTTCTGAAACTAAGCCGTTTTGGGACTTCAAATATGCCAAGATATGTGTATTTGACACCAAATATCAATACAATTGTGAAAATAGTAGCGCAATTCATTCTATAGCGACGCAGTGTGCCTTAAACCTTTCCCAGACCTATATATTTTGAAATTATCCTTTTAATACTGAGTCCCCAGCATTCATAAAAAATGGTGTTCAAGGTGCACTATCTATACAAATTATTTTTGCATCTTGGAAGCCAGGCAGTATCTGTGTGATTTTATAAAAATTCGGAAATGTTCTTCAGATATGAGCCCCTCTAAATATTGGGTGCGGAGCAGCTCCATAAACGTAGCTCCGCACCCAATATTTAGAGGGGCTCATATCTGAAGAACATTTCCGAATTTTTATAAAATCACACAGATACTGCCTGGCTTCCAAGATGCAAAAATAATTTGCATGGGTAGTGTATCTTGAACACCATTTTTTATGAATGCTGGGGACGCCGTATTAAAAGGATAGTCTCAAAATATATAGGTCTGGGAAATGTTTAAGGCATACTGCGTCGCTATAAAATGAATTGCACTACTATTTTCACAATTTTATTGATATTTGGTGTCAAATACACATATCTTGGTATATTTGAAGTCCCAAAACGGCTTAGTTTCAGAAATATCCCAATTTTAAATTCAAAAATGACCGTTAGCTCCGCACCCTCCGCTCATTTGCTCCGCACCCAATATTTCCCACAGGCTCTGTCTGCATAGGGTGTTAATGTCTCAAATGTCTCCTTCTTTAGCTGTTAGCTTTTTAATAAAGGATGATTATATTAATCTCAAAGGTTGTGGTCTTACTTGCAAACTATTTTCTGACATTTTATCTTAGTCTCGGATCTTGGAATAGAATCGTTCAGATACCTATCACTTCTTTTTGCTTTAATTTTCAACTAAAATGTGTTTCTAGGAAGGAACTAATGAGAGGCCATGATTTCTCATGATATATCTTATGTTCACATTTCCTTGCATTCACAATTATGTCAAGTAACGTGTCATTTGTGTGTTATCTGCCCCCGGGGAATCTTGAAAATATGTTGAGCGCTCGAGCAAGCAAAATTTACGTTAAACGACAAGACTGCCAAGATGTCGCTTGTTGTAATAGTACCCTATACAACGGATATGCGTATACATAGGAATGAGAAATTTAACGGTCACACTGTGGTAAGAGCTATTGATATACTTTAAACGCTCTAATAAACTGTCATATTAGCTTTTCATTTTATTAATTGATTTACGGACATAGCTATTTGTGATAACAAGAGATGTGCATGTGTGTTCATTTTACTTTAATCAGTGAGATTAATGGTTCAGGTTCTATATTTCTAGCACAAAGAAAAATAAAAAGAGGCAAGATGAGGTTGGGAACAAAAAGTATTTGTTTCCAAAAAGTTCCACACTATAAAATGATATCAAATGGGGCATAGGTATTTCTTAGAACTGGAACTGGAAGTGGCATACAATATTACCCACCAAGCTTACGCCTTTGTTAAACTTGATAAACCGCAGTGTAAAGAAATTCTAGAATAACAGCACACTACCATACCACGTGACCACGTTTAAAAGGGAAACAGGGTACAGATAAGTTGCAAATGGAGGACGTGGGTTTAATACCATATCTGTAAAATACATTTAACATTCATGTCTAGTGTTCTACAAGACATAAAATAAATTCATCAAGCAGTTTGTAGAACATTGTTGGCAAAAACCATATAGGTAAAGATAGGTACTAGTGTGCGCAGTGAAGCAAAACTTGAAAGCAATACAAGATACATTTCAGTAAATATATTAACGTACATTTCGAAAATGTTACTTATTTTGACATTGGTATGTAACGAAAAAACCACTTAACTGTTATTTAAACTGCGTGTCAGTGTGTTATATATAGATGTTTTCTAGTATGTTATTCAACTGTATTTTTGTGAATCAATTGTTTTTCTAAGATCTTAAGGCGAATAAAAAGTCGTCCCAGAAATGTATCTTTACTTTGCCGTAAGGCATAACATATTGTGAAACATTTTTCCTCTTGTCACAAAGAGGATAATGTTTGTTTCGAGGTGTCTTGTGATGAGCGTTTCATGATTAAATGCAAAATCACTGGAGCAGATACCATCCAAATCCAAAAACATTTTACTTTTAACACTTCCTTAACTGCCAATAGGCTCATCCCATTCCCAAAATATCGAGGAAAAATTTAATTATCAAATATTGACACCCAAAGCACAGAATTTTTGTTCAAAACCAAAATATTTCTCTCGATGGGTGTCTGTCAATTAATAGTGAGTTTAAGCTTACATGTAAAATCGAAACGCCAAACTGTACAATGTACGTATAACCAATCGTCCATACAAATGCATCGCTGAAAAAACTCCCGTTCACGTTGACAAAAACAGTACTGCATGCTTAAACTCCCTAATAACGATGGAAGGTTCCCAAAGTATTGGGAACGTGATTCTCGTATTGACAGGTGAAACATTGCGAAACGTTCACGGACTACCAAATAAAACTACAACGGCCTACTTTTCGAACGAAAATACGCTACGCGGTTCCACATTGTGGGTAATGTAACAGTAATGTTCATATTTTTATTTTATTTCCCACTTGACATTACCAGTGGGAAATGTATCACATGGCCTAATAGGTGGTTGACGACTGTAGTGTAGTCAGTCTCGATCAAGCCGTCCTAAAAAATTGTAAAACGGGATGTGGTCTGGTTGAACGTGTGGTGAGTTGTGCGAATCTCTGAAAAAAGATGGTTTTGCGCAAAAATGTTTTAAGGGCAAGAGAAACAAATAACTTGACTTTGCTTAGATATCATGTGACTTTGTCTGCGCGCTGTTTTATTTTGTTTACCATAACATAATCTAGTCATGATAAAGATCTTAGGATGAGCAAATATAGTGACAATGAGGACAGGCAATTCTTCCCATAAAACAATAGTGAAAAATGAACCCTTTCTCTGGATATTGTTTTATTCAATTTAATTTCCTCTCGTAATGTGATCCATCAATACAACAACACGGTAAACATGGTAAATTGAGAAGAAAATGTGTATACTGTAAAGCTATTTAAATTATAAATATATATCGTACATGACATTCTGATTTCCCTCGTCTGATCTCATCCATATTTCTTTGTCCAGTTATACCTACTCCCGGGCACCTACTTTATGATTTGAATCACATTTCCCGAGCGTGCACTACAAGAGGGATGTCAAGGACCATGGTGCAATATTATTTGAAAAATATATTTATATATTCTTACTCTATTGGGTATAGGATAAAGCAGGTATGTACGGTCGGTTTGAAAATGGGGTTTATCTCAAGGAAGATATTTCCCTCTCTGGATAAAACCCATATCCAGAACCCCCCAGTACGTATGGATGTAGACAACCCATCAATCTGTTGGTCTGTCCGGGGAGACATGAAAAGATGAAGTTGTTTCAGATTCAAAAATAGGGAAATAAGGTGTTAACATGCAAATATCACCACCTGCCATTTGTTACAGACGCTGAACACCAACCGCCGACTTGCCACCACAGAAAGTTGGAGACTATAACAATATGTGGCCACTTGTGGTGGTGACATGAAAAGGATAGCAACAATACGCCTAGAATGAAACATTTTGGTCCACTTAAAGATGTAAAAGATAGCAGTAAGTCTACTTTATATCACGATGCCATTTGTTCATTAGAATAGAAAGCTATATATATCAGATTTCCACATTTCAGTTTTCTTGGGGAGATAAAATGGCCAAAATGTGACACCCTACAGACAATAAATTAGCACTTCATCAGCGTCATCACTTTTCACAATTGGCATCAAATTTTAATAGTCTCCATGTGGTAATATACACCTCCCACAAATGGAGAACTGATTAGAAAAACTCTCAACATCAGAATTTAATTAGCATCAACTGCACTATTTATTGGCCAGCTCTTGTTTTATACACCAATAATTAATTAAGTCCATCCCCCACCGCTGGTTTATGACTTCGATGGAACACTGGAAAATTGTCAGTGTTATTGTAAACAGTCTATAGTGCTTAGTAGATTCTGACAGCGGGTGTCATAGTTCCCTTAATGTACAGAGCACGCACGTTCTGCCAGTTCTTCTTCAGGAGAGAAACGAGGAAGTTGATGGACATGTTGATATTAGCAAACAGCTCATCCTGAGTCATGTTAACATGGCCTACAGCAATAGCAAGACACAACACCTGCAAACACAAATCAACAAGATTTTAGCATTTCATTCTTGTTCTGTTGGATTCATTTTTAGCCAAAATGCAGTAAAAATAGAATTTGAAGATTTCATTTATAACACAAGCAATGGTAGTGATCCACGAATTCACGAAGGTTATGTAAGCTCGCGCACACATATGACGTCATACGAACACTTTATTATGTTCATAAAATTAACCATAATTTACGCATCACCTCCAGACCATGCTCAACCAGTGCGTATAAACGTATCATTTTTAATTCAAAAGTTTACCATAAAAACTTTATAATTATTTTCAAATGTTTAATATATAGGTGTTTAGAAAATATGTAGACGATCACGATCCTTAGTTGATTCGTTTTTGAAGAATTTTAAGCATCGTGGATTAAATAATAATTCACTGATTTTCTAATTTTTCACATGCTATCAATTGGATAAATCAGTTACAATCTGTATATTAAAATAAATTTTAAAGAACTTCATATTCTGACTCATAAATGTGTGGACATTGACCAGAAAAGTGTAGAATTACAATGTCACACTGACATTTACAGGTGCTCATGTGGCTAACATGTGTTTTAAACATGATTTGATTGGTTCGATTCGTGTTACGACAGGTTTGCGGGTTCGTATTTGTTTACGTCATACGTATTTACTAAGATGGCTTCATGAATAAGGCCTCAGATATCAAACTAAAAATCTGAACAAGTCACCACCACAGCAAAAAATCACAGGTTTTCAAGTATGTAATTCTAGCATTGCTATGCTTTAAGCATCCTTGTATCTATAACACACACACACATAAGACTTTTCACTTCCAAATTGATCACTTGGTTTTTGTATTAACTGACCATAACTTAATAGCACAAACTTAAAATCTATAAAACCTCAAATTGTTTGAATTCCTGTTGAAAACTTGTTTCAAATATAAAACATGCAATGAGGTCATATTTGATAATAGCTATATTTGGAACAATCTAAACATAACTTACAAGGGAAAAGTTGTATTCTTTTAAAAATTGGAAAAATGCAGGTATCAACTAAAGAATATAAATATCTTCAAACAAATGATGCCTAACAATGCAGGTATCACTCTTGAATATTTTGTCATTCAAAATGCATTGAAAGACAATTGCACTTGGTCAGAACTAGACAACAGCAACGCCAAAGCGTAGCAAATCCCATCGAACAGTCATTGCTGACATTTTTACAAACAAAGTATATAGCAAAAATGGCAGCCATTTTTCAAATGCCCACCTTCTACCAAAAGTGTCATTAGACAGTGTGCCATGCCTATAGTATTCACATACCAAATATGAACAAAATCGCTCCACTACTTTTCGAGTTATAGTAAACTATGTTAAAATGGTGGCCATTTTGCAAAATACTTGGGCCCCTCTACAAAATTTAAAGCTTGGTTTCATGTAAAAGAAATTATGAATGATGATGCTTTACTGCTTTAAGCGGTAGTTGGCATTGTCAAGCAAACTCATCTCTTGTCATTGTTCTCACTATTCATCAATTTATTTTTTGTTACTTGTTCAAGCATTTTGAAAGAAGGTGGAGACATCTTTTTAAAACAAAAATCTAACAAAAACAATGTATTTTTTCCAATGACCAAAACTGCTTTTCAATTCCTGGGATAGTTTTAAATGTGACTCTATTAACTGACTGAATAAGCCAACAAGGATTTACCTTCTTCATCTGGAACTTGATGGTTGCCTTCACATCTTCAACCTTGGTGACCATGTTGTCCTGGTGAGTGAGAAGGGTAGGGAACTTGCCAGCTTTGTTCAAACCAGGTCCAAGGATACGAGGGATCTGCTTGATCAAGGAGTCTGAGGCCATGAAAGCACTGTACTTCTTGGCTAAAATCAAGAATGCAGGGATGAATATTAAATATAAAAAAATCAGACAAAGGGCTTTGTTCAATCCAGGTCCAAAAATACAAGGGATATGCTTGATCAGGGACTCCGGCCATGAAAGCAATGCACAACACTGTAATTTGCAGTCAGGAATGCAAGTCTAAATACATCATAGAAAGGGCTTTGTACGGCCTAGGTCCAAAAACACAAGACCTATTTGATCAAGGAAAACGGTTCCATAGACTTTTTTGCAAGATGGGCATTGAAAAGGCATGTGTCCAAATTTGGAAGTAAATCTGTTAAGTGGTTTTCATGGAATCATGATGACAAAAGGATGTGTCCGGGTATATGCCCTTTTGGTCCCTTAGTCAAATGTATGTGAAATATGGTTTTTATTACTGACCTAGTTATATTTGATAAGTATATTTAGTTTTTCACGAGTTTTGATGCATAATTAACCCCCTGCTGAGAGTCAGAATAAGTATCTTAACAAACTAAAAAATAGTCATTATCATAGAAAAAACACCAATGGCAACATGTATGACATACAAAGAAGGAATAACTTAAGACCCATGAAGAATTAAAGAGAAAATCATATTTTTGAAATATATTTAAGGATTAGAATTTCCCGCCAAATTAATTTGAAGGGGGAAAAACAAGATGGTTGCCATTTGATGTAAGAAATATCAGAAAAAAAGTTGCTTCACTTTTAGTTTTCACAAGAAGCACAGTTTTCCGGTTTAGGTTTTTTGACTGATTCTGACTCTTCATCACAAGGGTCATGTATAGAGATTATAAAATTGAAACCAAAATGTTGTGCTCAGCATGAATTTGACTGAAATATGTGTAACATCACCAACACAATTGAAGTCACATAACTGGATGCTCAGTAACTTTGAGTGACTATAACCCCTTGATTACCCAGATAAACACCAATTCACTTATCCAGAAATACCATTCAATGTCTATACAAAGAAAGTAACCAATGTTTTGGAAGATGTTTCAAACTTTTTGCATAATTAATTCATTTAATATTTGCCATTGATTTTTTTTCAATTCCGACAAAGTGATATGCACTGTCTTTGATGCCAATATTCTTCATCAATTGTGACACAAATTGATATTTTTGTAATCTCAGAAGAAGGATAAAATATTGAAGTTTAATAATATGTGTGATCGAGTTGGTTTTTCAGACATTACAATTTTCAATATTTTCTAAGTCGATACCCAGACTCATCCTTTATCTAATAACTTCCAAGATGGCCACCAGAATGCAAGATGGCTACCGAAAAGTTAATCAGTTCTACAACTTCTTACATTGCAACATGTGAAAAAATTTGATGGAAATAAGTTAAGTGTTTTCCAATGGCAAAATTTATCTAAACACCTCCAAAATGGCCGCCAGAATGCAAGATGGCTACTGAAAAGTTAATCAGCTCTAGAACTTCTTACCATCGTAACATGTGTAAAAATTTGAAATAAATCCCTTAAGTGGTTTTCCTGGAATCGCAATGACAAGATTGATTTAAATCTTCCAAGATGGCCACTGAAAAGTTAATCAGCTCTAGAACTTCTTACCATGTTACATGTGTAAAAATTTGGAATAAATCCATTTAATGGTTTTCTTGGAATCGCAAGGACAAGATGGATCTAAAAACGTCCAAGGTGGCCGACAAAATGCAAGATGGCCACCAAGTGTTAATCAGCTCTAGAACTTCTTTCTATGTTACATGTGTCAAAATTACCCACCCGCTGAGCTGACGACAATATCGTACCTTTTTTAGGTACGATAAAAACTTCAAGAACAACTTACTTGAACACATAAACCTACCTAATTTCTTCACCAACTTCTTGTTTTTGTTAAGTTTCTTGAGTGCCTCAACATCCATGCACTCAATGCCATTAGCCTTGGCCTCATCCATATGCTGCTGATCTCCCAGTACGCACACAGTCATCTTGGGGCGAGGGATGTTTTTGAGTCTTAAAACACACAAATTACATTGTTAACTAAAGGAAGCTGCAAGTGCGAATCATTAATCAAAACAATTTCAGCAAATATGTTGTGCGAAGAACTCATGGCATTTATTTTAATAATAAGGTTACTGAATGCAATTCCATTCCCTTTTATGAATACAACACATTGCAATATGCATATGAACATTCAAAGATAGACAATTGCTTAACAATAGCACACATTTCTGATTGTTCCTTCTAAGTTACCTTCCAGAAATCATGCATTAAGCAAGATTACATAGATTTGCGACAGATACCAAAAGGTTTCTATCTACCCAATTGTTTCCGACTCTGGGTGAGAGTCAACCCTTGATGTCTCGGACTTGCAGCAATTTGATGATTCAGGTCAGTAATTGCGACAATTAAGATTGTCTTCCCATAATTTCAAGACCCTGGGTAGGGGTCGTAAATGGAGACAAGGGCGGTGATAGACCATCAAGGATCTACAACCTTCCCATTTATTTTAAGACCCTGGGTCAAGGTCCGTCAATGATCTGACTTCCTGATAGACTTCAACCAAGTTTGTATTATCTTATAATAAAGTTTTGTACAGAACTTGACTTGGTAGAAGTTTTTCAGGTTTTGGTTTCCAAATGGAAGAGCTGGCCATACTTCACGGTTCCAGAGAAACGCTTGTCCTTTTGTGGATCATAATTCTTCAGGGATATTTGAAGTTCAATCGTCTGAGTAAACTTGCGAGGTTTGTCTTTAGTGTATGCCACCACTTGCTCAATGGCCTCCAACAACGAATCACGGGTAATTTTACTGAAAACAAGTTATTTCACAAATTAATAGCAGACAAATGAAACAAGCATGCTGTACAATTTGATAATAATGTTAGCGGAATTTGTAAAGAATTGTCACGGTGTAAGATGGAACAAGATGGAAGTTGACTCTTCCATATATTACTAAGACCAACTTTCAGTTCTCATGAAGATTGATGCTTTCCATTCTTTTGTTACATATATTCTATTGCAAAAGTGTGTTATGTCATCATCATTTGGATACACGATTGATCAATTTTACTGATCATTATATCGCGGGTTAGTACGAGAAAGTTAAAACATGAACATCAACACAAGTTCATGAGCTAAAAACAGTGTTAGGTAATAAAAAGCTAAAACAATAGGTTAAAAGACAGTATAAGATTAAGGCATGGGTGTAAGGTAGTGAGCCCTTAGACTAGTCTTGAACTGGTCTAAGCTCTCTGCCAATACAATGCTGTCAGGTAGTATATTCCACTCAGGTATGGTGCGTGGGAAAAAGGAATGGAGCATTGCATCCTTCCTGCAACTGTACCTCTGGAAGCTCTCACTATTTGAAGTCCTTGATCTGCGCTGGAGAGGCATGAGGTATGTGTCTGGTTGGATTGCAACAAGTTGTTGTTTGATCTTATACATCATCGTCAACCGTTGTTGCTGTCTCCTCGTTTCAAGTGGTGTCCATTGTAGTGTATTCAGCATTGTTGTCACTGAGCTGTAACGGCTGTAGTCATTCATCACATAGCGTGCAGCTCTTCGTTGGACCATTTCTAGTGCAGCTATGTGGGTTTGGGTGTGTGGATCCCATACAGCAGCAGCATACTCCAGTCTTGGTCTTACTAGAGTAAAGTAAGCCATCTGCTTTGTGTGGCGAGGGGCCTTCCACAGGTGTCTTCTCAGCATGCCAAGAAGTTGGTTGCTCTTGGATATAGACTTGTCTATGTGCTGGTTCCATTTGAGGTTGTCTTGTAAGGTAACACCAAGGTAGCTAGCAGATGGTATATGCTCCAAGGTGTGTCCACTCATTTCATACTTGTAGATTTTGGGATTCAACTTGGCAGACAATGCTGTACATTTGTCAGGATGAAACTTCATCAGCCAAGTTTTCTCCCATTCTACAGCTGCATTCAGATCTTCTTGCAGAAGAGTGGCATCTTGTGGTGTCTTAACTTCTCTGTAGATGATGCTGTCATCAGCGAATAATCGGAGGGTTGTATGTTGTAGAGTATCTGGGAGGTCGTTAATATACAGCAGGAATAATATCGGTCCCAATACCGTTCCCTGTGGCACGCCAGATGTTACCTGTCCGATTTCAGATGAAGCACCATCCACACTGACTTTCTGGGTTCTATCAGACAGAAAGTCAGAGATCCAGGCATTGGTTTGTCCTCTGATGCCATAGTAGTCAAGCTTATAAGCAAGATGACGGTGAGAGACCTTATCAAAGGCTTTAGCAAAGTCCATTATGATAACGTCTATCTGCTTGTTGGCATCATTGGCTGAAACAAGATCATGATAGAACTCAATAAGCTGCGTCTCACATGACCTTTTCGACCTAAAACCGTGTTGTAGAGGATATAGTATTCCTTTGGTTTCAAGGAATGACATCATGTTGCTAGTGATGATGTGTTCTGTCAACTTGCAACAGATACAGGTCAGAGACACGGGTCGGTAGTTGGATGCCTTGTATCGCTCTCCCTTTTTGAAGACTGGCACGATGTTCGCAGCCTTCCAATCATGTGTCGATGTCGAGTCTTGTCGACGTGTGGGGTTATGTCAGGACGAGAAATAGGACATATGCTACGACTCCACATAGCAGTCATTTGTATATATCCAAGAAAAACTAATGAATTTGAGAAAAATGTCCATGCTTTTCATATTTTATATTATAATGGATAAATATTTAGGAAATGTAGGCCCGAAATGTTGGCATGAAATATTTAGAATTGGGGTAAGTTTTTGAATAGTGAATATAGCCAAATAACAACATTTATCATCAAAATATAGTTTTCCAACAAGACGTATATTGATTGAGATCCATTTGTAATATCATAAATTGTTACAAGTACGTGAATTACTGAAGATTGTGTCGATTTTCGGGAGAAATATTTCGTACCTCATTTCGGTTGATGGACGAGACGGAAAAGGACGAGAATGAGACTTGGCGAGAGATTCCGAGATCGGCCATGATGAAAATTTAGAAAAGACAGAATAAATTTTTGATTCCTAAAAAAAATCAATTTTATTTACGGTATATGATGTAAAGTATACAAATTATTACTTGGGCAACCATAGGCTAAGGGTTAAGTAATAGTAAGCTGTATATATAAGAGACAGGTCCACAAGTAAGATTGAAAATTATTCAAATTTTTTTAGTCTTGGCACTAGTTCTCCTTACTGGTATCAAATTTTATTCCAAAATTTCTCCAAAATCTTCTTCAAAGTGTTTTTCAAACTTATATCATTGTTTTTTTCAAATCTTTATCTAAAAACTGCATATTATACTGCATATAAAACAACAACTATGGAAACCTACAATTGCCTGGCAAGCTGAAACTGATTGTCACTGGTGGAGGTCAGGGAGGTCAGCAGTGACCAATCAGATCACTTGTTTACTAATGAACTTGCCAGGCAATTGTAGGTTTTCAGAAATTCTCTCTTTTAGACAGCATTATTCACTCTATATCATCTGACTGAGTTTCAATCTTAGGTAAGAGCTACAAACTATCAATTTTATATCAACTCCCCATGGCTTTTTGAAAATAATACACTAAATATTGTTGAAATCTCCATCTTAACAAGTGGTCTAAGTCAGAGTTGTTCACCTGTCTCTTATATATACAGCTTACTATTACTTAACCCTTAGCCTATGTGGGCAACAAACAAGACGTTATGGTTTATGGAGAGAACAATATGATTGTCCCTACAGAGGTCAGTATGCTATATAGCTTCGTTTTACATTTTCCTTCTCGCCACAAAAAACATTCAATCTTTTCCTAAACTTTCTGAGTGAAATTGAAGCGAAATTAGACTGATTTGTCACTTTTCAATCGGCTATGATGAAATATAGAAGATATTTATGAATGTAGAATATTGAAACTAACTGACTGCATCAATAAAACATGCAAAATTCAATAACAATGTCTAAATGACACTCATCAATTGGTTTCAATTTCATTTTGTCTAGACTTAGAGTCCATTTCACTGCTTCATTTCGTCAGTAGAACGGCAAAAATAAGAAATTGGGAGACCATTGTGCAATAATATATGAAAAAGTATATTCCTATTGTACATGAATGACATTTGTATATCTTGGATTGCTTCTAGTTTGGCTTATAAAGTGTGTGGCCTCTTATATTTGGATGTTTCTCTGCCATGTTATTTTCAATAAGATTAACAATGTTACATGGCCGAAATTCTTCAAATTACAAGACGGCACAGGCTTATTGCACAAACAACTAAAAAATCTGAAATATACAAATGTCATTCACGTACATTATGAATATACTTTTCCATATATTATTGCACAATGGTCTCCCAATTTCTTATTTTTGCCGTTCAACTGACGAAATGAAGCAGTGAAATGGACTCTAAGCTTACTCGAGTCTCTAGCCAAATTACTTGGCTAGAAGACCTGGCAAGTGGACCACCATGCACTATTGAAAACGATCAATAAATTTATGTGTTATTTTAAATATCGTAATGAGAATATTTCATCAAATAGAACGTAAATGAATACTATCTGAGATATTGCAAGCTTTCGTCTAAAATTAAATCAAAGGCTCCAAGAAAAATGGAGGATGTTCAACAACAATGACAAAAACTGGACGTAATGTCGTTAACGTCTGACATTATAGCTGGCTGTAAATTCAAAGTAGCGATCTAAAAGACTTGAACTAATACACTCATCACTTCCTGTGTGTTTTGAAAGTTTTTGTGAGGTAATAAGACCAAAAATCGCAATTCAACTTGTGAAGTGAAACAATGTCGGCTGGTGATTTCAAATTTTATAATCACAACATGCCTCTTATGAGGTAGAACAAAACACACGGGGACTTATGCATGGCGTAATGGCTGCAATATAATGGAAACCTTAGACTAAGGTGACTAGCCCTTTAAAAGAAAGACTTGTTTGTTTTAAGATTTTAGATTTTTCCATTCACCACCCTATACCACAAATTGAAAACAAAAAGCGGGAAAATCATTGATGATCTTTTGAGAAAACACTACTTCTTGACATATCCAACCAACTAACTTTGTCATTACTCGTATTACATTTCTTCACTCATAAACTTCATTTTTATTGAGCATAATTTCTAGGGGTGGGTCGGGCGCCCCTCCGGGCATGTGCCTCTTATATTTGGATGTTTCTCTGCCATGTTATTTTCAATAAGATTAACATGGCCGAAATTCTTCAAATTACAAGACGGCACAGGCTTATTGCACAAACAACTAAAAAATCTGAAATATACAAATGTCATTCATGTACATTATGAATATACTTTTCCATATATTATTGCACAATGGTCTCCCAATTTCTTATTTTTGCCGTTCAACTGACGAAATGAAGCAGTGAAATGGACTCTAAGCTTACTCGAGTCTCTAGCCAAATTACTTGGCTAGAAGACCTGGCAAGTGGACCACCATGCACTATTGAAAACGATCAATAAATTTATGTGTTATTTTAAATATCGTAATGAGAATATTTCATCAAATAGAATGTAAATGAATACTATCTGAGATATTGCAAGCTTTCGTCTAAAATTAAATCAAAGGCTCCAAGAAAAATGGAGGATGTTCAACAACAATGACAAAAACTGGACGTAATGTCGTTAACGTCTGACATTATAGCTGGCTGTAAATTCAAAGTAGCGATCTAAAAGACTTGAACTAATACACTCATCACTTCCTGTGTGTTTTGAAAGTTTTTGTGAGGTAATAAGACCAAAAATCGCAATTCAACTTGTGAAGTGAAAAAATGTCGGCTGGTGATTTCAAATTTTATAATCACAACATGCCTCTTATGAGGTAGAACAAAACACACGGGGACAGTATGCATGGCGTAATGGCTGCAATATAATGGAAGCCTTAGACTAAGGTGACTAGCCCTTTAAAAGACAGACTTGTTTGTTTTAAGATTTTAGATTTTTCCATTCACCACAAATTGAAAACAAAAAGCGGGAAAATCATTGATGATCTTTTGAGAAAACACTACTTTCTTGACATATCCAACCAACTAACTTTGTCATTACTCGTATTACATTTCTTCACTCATAAACTTCATTTTTATTGAGCATAATTTCTAGGGGTGGGTCGGGCGCCCCTCCGGGCATGTGTCTGCGTGTATTGACCTCACAGGTGCTTGGTCATCAGTTTTGGGCCAGAATGGACCACTAAGTACCTTTGGATCATGTTTGTTGTGCTCAGTACATACACATGTAAAATTAATCTTGATAAGTCAAAAGTGATTTTTTGATTTTGATTGACTTACCAAACTATGGCTACACAGAAAAAATTAGCATGACCATTTTTAAATGCCCTGCCAAAAATGCACATTGCATAAGGATCTGAAACTCAAAGTTGCCTGACTACAAATGGCTATCACTATTCTCTACTGGCAATGAACTTGAAAAACTGTGTTCTGGGCATTGATGTGAATTCTACATTGTGGCGGTCATGTTTTAAACCTTGTGAACATGAACAATCATTAACCATTTTGTAGACATTGACTTGACATGTCCAGACAATTATGGCAAATTGATATTTAGGGTGCGTTTGTGAACTGCCAACGGGCGAGTGGATTGCATGATATTTAATAAGTATTCCCCCAAGGAACCCATGTGTTGCAAATTACATGCTCACATGTTCTCAACAAAAGCAGTTCATCCAAGCGTACTTAAACCACTAATTACGCTGTGGCAACTTTGCCAACTGCTTGTATGTGTCAACCATGCCGACTTTTTGCTAGTGCACCACGGGAGTGCAATAGAGTGTGATGTCTTTCAAAAGAATTATGTGAGTGTTCGTGCACTTGGAGTTTTTTTTGTTGTTGCAACCATATAATTTGCGCTACAGGGCCTTTTTGTTCTTTTGCTTGATACCTGTTACGCAATGTACCACCGCCGCCACATTCAAAAACATGTAATGGTTGAATGATTGGATTTTCATTACGAGTTGTCTTGGGTACCAGTTGTCTTGGGTACGACTTGTCTTGGGTACCAGTTGACTAGGAAGCATTTATTTTACTTGATTACAAGTTAATTTTTAATGTGTTATTTCAGGATGTTTGTGTGGCAGATGAGCCTATGGTGCTTTGCATTGTACGGGACATGACAGACTCCAGGAGCTCTAGCAAACACACTCTTAACCTCTCTGGGAGTACAACATGTAGGGGACTCATTGAAGAACTGGGCAAACTTCTGCGATATTATCCAGATACTTTCACTGTATACTACGAGAGACCTGTTGATGGGGATTACGAAGAGGTAGGCATGAGCCATTGAAGCTTAAGGCAGATCTGTAGGATAGAAATTTGCAATTTGAAAAGAAGACTGCTCTATTCTCTAGTTATTCATACATAGACAGTCCACTATTAATCTGAGTAAATTAGAGCACCTTTTGTGCAAAAATGAAACATTTAGACCGTCTTAGGAATGAGTTATGTTGATCTGAAAAAAGCTCACAGTCATCAAAATGGTAGAAAGTGAAGTCTGACCTTAAGTTTGTAAAGATATATCGCATTCAACAATGAGTCTTCTATGTCCAATCATCATAGACTCAATGATATATATAGGATCACTCTAAAATATGATGTGATTTTTAGGTGTTGATTAACGAAGAGGGTGAAAAGCCACTAAGTTTGGTGTGTGCACATTGTGGTAATGGAAAGAAGAATATATTCACTGTCAATGATAAGGATGGAAAACAACCAGAAAGACTACCTGTAAGTACAACAGTGGATCATATATGTCTTTTTGTTCAATATTTTCAAAATCACAAAGATATACCTTGAAAATCAACATTTCAATAATAATATTATAGCATATCTACCCCCTGATAAAATGAACTTTCATTGACAATCAATGAAATTTAACCATTGTCTCTAAATTGCTGCACAATTTCAGGAAGAAATAAGAGAGGAAGCTGAAGAAGACCCTGTTGACAACCCAGGTCTTGGGGACAGTTTCATAGGGCAGCTTGATGAGAACAAGGACTCAGATACCCTTGGCCTAGGGGCCTCAGCCTCCCCAACCACCCACCAGGAACCGACATATGGGCCATCAAACTACCGTTCTGGTTCATCATACTCCTCAGATTACTCTTACTCATCTGCTCTCATGAAATCCGATACAGGTATATGTGAAACAACATAAAATAAACATCCTTTAAATTCTTTTAACCCCCTCCCAGTCGTAAAATATGCAATTTGCCTTTGCATATACATAATGTCCTACAATGCCCAAATGCAATTTGACATACACTTGTATGTATTCATCCTAAATAAATATAGGATGATAGCAATGAAAATGGAAATCATGCACTGTTGATAATTTCTAAACAACCGGACTCTTAAATTCAGAATAGCAAAAGTCCCTCTTACCTCTCAAAAACTTACAAGAAAATAAATAGGGATATTTGATTTTCACAAATCCCTACTTGTGATGAGGACTTCCGTCTTTCCCAAATAAAAATAATTGATGAATGGTTCCATAATCTGTGACAGTCAGATATATCATGTATATACCTAATTCAAAAGTTCATATATATTCTAATATGATCAATTTATTTGTTCTTTCACTGTAGGTTACGTAGGTTTAGTTAATCAGGCCATGACGTGCTACCTGAACTCCCTGCTACAAACTCTGTACATGACCCCAGAGTTCAGAAATGCCATCTATAGGTGGGAGTTTGATGGTGAAGAGGCAGAAATGGTGAAGAGCATTCCTTTTCAGTTACAAAGGCTCTTCCTGCTTCTACAGGTTAGTCCAGAGGGATTCATTTTATAAATGAATATCTTAAGGAGTCAATAGATTTTCCTATCTTGAACTTTACATATCTTACATTTAATGTATCCCTTATTTTAGAAATATTATAAATGAATAGCGTTTTCATTTTATTTTATTTCATAGTGGATTTTACATAAATTTTGTTTTTGTATATGTGTGAATTTAGGATTACCTCTTTCAAGTAAAATATAAAATGACAGAGCCTCAGATCATGCGGTCCATTATGTACATGTAATACAAGAAGCATTTCTATTTTAAAACTGTTTATGTATTTTTTGCATTTCAGACCAGCAAGCGCAAAGCAGTTGAGACAACTGATATCACACGTAGCTTTGGTTGGGACAGTAGTGAAGGTACATGCTCCATAATTACACTTTCCTTTTATTTACTAAACTAATCCCATAAACCACAACAACCCACAATATTTTTATTTTGAAATTCATAGAAATGCAAGGCTATGTTTGTAAAAAATTAAAACTGTAATACAACATAATTTGGATATAAAATACAGTAGTCTTTTTGTTGAGAAACTATAATGTTAGATCTATAACACATCTCAGTAAGACTGGAATTTCTTAAGTTAATATCTTATGATACTTAAATTGCATCAGTAGCAAAACCAATCAAAATGAAATAAAGAAAACGTCAAAACAACCATATGTTTATACAGCGTGGCAGCAACACGATGTACAGGAGCTGTGTAGGGTAATGTTTGATGCCCTAGAGATCAAGTGGAAGAATACAGACCAGGCCCACCTTATTAACCAATTATACCAGGGCAAGATGAAGGACTATGTAAAATGTCTTGAGGTAATTTCATATAACTTTGTACATCAGTACATGTATATAATATAATTTCTCCACTTCTCAAAAAGTGCATAATATTATATCAAACTCTTTGAAACTCGGGAAATATCATAACTCAAGCATTTTCTAAATTACATGATAGATGAATAGGCTTTCTAGATTTTAGATACACATAGACAGTATTACATGGTGTATTGCATTTGTTTTGTAGTGCTCATATGAGAGTGCAAGAACTGATACATACCTTGACATTGCCTTGGCTATTCGACCATTTGGCTCCACTGTGGCATATGGCAGTGTAGAGGAGGCATTGAAAGCTTACACCCAGCCTGAGATCCTCGACGGAAGCAATCAATATTTTTGTGAAAAGTGCAATAAAAAATGTGATGCCCATAAGGTTGGTACCTTTTTAGACATACTGTTATTATTTGTATTTTATGTTTAATTTATTCAAAAAGGCTTAAAACACTGACTTTTCTAATAGGTGGCCCCTATTATCACCTATGTTCAGTTAAAATTTATTCAGAGAATGTTGACCCTCTTATTTGGCTGCTTAATTCAAAATGGCAGCTCTTTTAATAAGTGTGAGTTTTGACAACTCAGATGTTCAGTTATCAAATTGTGTTCTACTCATATGAGTAGTTCAGCCCCTTATGGACAGGGGACCTTGCAATGTCTCATACTTAATTTGGGTTATATGTCTATGGGTGTGGATCGCGCCGAAATAACATCATACTACTGCCTTGTTATTTCTATTATGAGATGAAATTTCGGAAAGGTTGGTAAATTATGTTTTATTCAGTTGGAGATGCCACTCCAGGGAATTGCTGTTTTTCTACTTATGCAATTAAAATCGACACTTAATGTTTGCTGTGTTCAATCATGCTAATGTTGATAAAATTGATATCCTTCAAAATCATATTTTAAAGTGTATATTCATGTAAAAGTTCAGTTCAGATGTAAGACTGCAGTGCTCATTTCAATAATATATATATTTTTTTTTTCTTAAGTCACATTTTTTTTCATTTGATTTGCATGTACCTTAAAAACAATTCCACTTATTTCCATACAAATAATCTACATTGATTTCATTAATTCATTAGGTACAAAATTTAACCTTAAACATGGTTTGTTTTGTCCTGTTAACTGACAATCGTTCTGAGTCACAAATTTCAGATTGAAAATCTCCAGGAAAATTGTATGTGTCATACAAAAGAATATTGAATGCTGATTGGTCAAATCTATGACAGTTCAGGTAAGAACTGATATCTTCCTGTGCTCTGGCACAGCGTAGTCGAGACCCTTTTGGTTTAATGCAATGTCTATTCAATGCACACAACACTAGCCATTTAAAAAAATATTCATGCACAAATTTAGTGTTATAAATTAAGAATGCGCCAGCCCCATATGCACCTCGTCTTCTCATATCTTCTTCCTCAGCTGGGAGATAATCATACATGCCAGGATGAGTCACAGCAAAATTTTTATTAATAAATCTATTTAGGAAAAGCATTAGTCCATTTCCATTCTTGATTTTCTCCCATAGTTTCTCTGTTCCTCCTGTTTTGAAACGAATTGATGAATCCACCCAGAATACACCTACTTTATGCTTTGTTAGCATCTCCTACAACACAAAATCAAAGTAAATTCAAAATTAATTGCACATGAGATCTCTTTTAAGTAATTATGACATTTTTCATATTCGTTTGATTTTGCTACTTCATGTGGTTGGTATTTTCTCATTATGGCACTTAATTTATGTGTTAGTTGGAGAAAAAAACACTGGATCGATGTTACATTATCAAAATTTTTAAAACATCATAACATAAAATTATACAGGATAAGCACTTAATATAGTTGACTAGTAACTTTACCTGAACTATAAGAGGCTTAAATGCGCAGGTCCATAAGTATTGGGAGACATGCTTGGGATAACCTGTAAAATTGAACTTTCTGTATTTCACTCCACACATTGTCTTAATTATTGTTTCTTGTTCAGAATCAAGGCCAAGGTCATAGTAATAAATGTTGCGATCAGGATAAAATGTCTGTATACTTCCTATCAGGTCAAAGCTCTCAGTAAAATGATTCTCAGATGCTGCAGTTACAAAAACAAAATCCTGAATGTTTTCTTTAGATAGTTCAATGAATGAAGGTTGAGAAAGTGCAAGTCTCTGCATCTGCTCTTCTGTCGCTACTAGTTCTTTCTTTGCTGTTAATTGCTGATGATTTTTATACACAAATATTCTTTTCTTTCCATCACCAAGTGATATGCTCTTATTTAAAGATGTTGCAGCACTATCTTTGCGATTTAGGCTCCGACCAATGTTGAAATTAGAAATGTTAATTGAATACATTATCCTTTCATATCCAAATATTCCTAGAGTAATGAGCAATATTAACATGTAATTAAGTTTCAAGAGCAAGTTACTTTTGAAGGCCATGCTATTTCCTTATAATAACATAACTTATAGGATAATGAGTAATTAACCCACCGAATGAAGTTTGAGGGGATGGAGACACTGATGTAGCAGCAACAAATGGCGTCCGTCTGTCTCTGTATAGGAGTAACACACTAAATTCGAACACTAAAAAAGCTATAACAAGAAATAATGGATATGCATTAATACAATATGCAGGAAAATATCATCATGAAACACTGGAAAATTAGTGAGGGAAGACAACAAATGATGAAACAGTATGTTCTTCGCAAATAGGGTAAACTACGAGAAGTTAAAAGACCAATCATAAGTAAGAGGAAGGAACCTACAGAAGACAACATAAGAACACCAATAAGGGGAAGGGGAGAGTTTTCAGGCAGGATCAAAACATTTAACCCACTTATGTGCAGTATTAAGTCTTCGGACCCTGAAGAAAGATATTTAGCATCACAATCAAACCAAGACAAAGAAAGAACAAAGAAGACAGCGAAATGAAGATGCACTCTAACTAACTAAATTTTACACACTGATGCCCAGGGACATAGGAGCGCTCGAGAAGGGATTTTGAAAATGGCAGTTACAATGTATATTTCAAAATGACCACCTTTTTTCGTAAAGGACGTAATCTTTGATAACTCAGATACCAGTCAAACGATTTGATTCAAATTTTATATGCTGTTGCCTAGGGACAATTTCAAAGTTGCGGCCATTTTTCGTAAAAATGCAATCTTTGATAGCCCAAATACAAGTTGACGTATTTGGTTTAAATTCTATATGCTGATGCCTAGAGACAAAGGAAGTCTGCTCAAGAAGACATTTTCAAGATGGCCACTGAATTTCAAAATGGTTGGTTGGTTCAAATTTTATATTGCCCCTATCTCTCAAAACATGTTTTGTTCAGTGGGATTTGCTACTCCATGGAGTTGCTGTTTTTCTTGTTGTTTTATGTTTTAGCTTCAAGCTATTATGTCACTTCATAATGTCTCTAATATATAACAGTGTTTTCACAAGTGAGATATACATATACTGTGTATTCTACATACATTTCACTGCAAAGTATGCAGTCGCTTTATATATGCTTATAATCCCATTGAACAAAGTTTGTAGGAGAGATTTAGAGAAATCCTTCATCCATCCATTTAGTCTGTTCCTCCTGGTATAATAATTGAAATCAATTTCAATCCAATAGTCACTTTATGATTTGTATCTCATAAAATATTGGAGCAATTTGTCAAGACTTGTATTTATGGAAATATTCAGAAGCATAACACATTATGATTGGCCAATTTGCCCTTAAGACAGCCATTATAAAAAGTGGTGTGGATGATTATATTAATATGGTTATACTGTATATTTCAAGTACAATGAAAACAGAGAAAACAACCACTTTGCAAGTCATCACACTGGCATGCACTGTGAGGGTATGGCTACTTGTAGAATCAAAAGATGCAGGTTTTCAATCTTGTTTGTACCTTGAGTTCAGGTAGCTGTATTGTCTTTGTTGATGATAATGACCCTACTACTTCCCTGTGCTCCACCCATAGCAACCATAACATATTTTGTCAGCTTCTGGGTACTGTACAAATTTTGACTGAACTTATGTGATAATGGAAAATGTGCCACATTCTATTGTTCCGATGACGAAACAGTTAGATGTGTTAAGCCATTCTTCCATTTTAAATGTCTACCTTAATTTGAAAAGAATAATTGTTGAGTCTGAATTCTAGATTATTTCTTGTCTCATTAAATGAGAATTTCCAGATATTGCATTTGTTACTGACCCATATTATTCCTTTAAATTGTTTGATTGCATATAAGTACCTGTATATATAAGTACATGTATATTGTTTGGAACTATTTGTAGGGTTTGAAGTTTGTGAGTTTCCCGTATTTGCTGACTATGCAGCTGAAAAGATTTGACTTTGATTACAACACATTGCACCGAATTAAACTAAATGACAAGTAAGTCTCTGAATGGTGATAGTCTTACATTCAAATCAAATACCAGTTGAGGAATTTGGTTCATATTAATAGGCTGATGGGCATGGACCTCTGCTCAAGATGGGTTTACAAATTTAATTTCTGGTTATTCAAATACAGTTGAAATATTATGTATATTTTAATTCACATATAATATTAAAATTTCATATTTCAAGAATGACGTTCCCAGAAATCCTGAACCTCAATCAGTTCATAGACAATCCTGAGAAACCCATTCCAAATGGTGAGACTGGGGAAACAAGTCCTGTTGCTACGGAGGCAAACTTGGTTGCCAAGGAAACAGTAAATCATATTGTAAATGGACCAGCAGGGGATGGTATTGAGAGCAATGGAGAAAATGTAATCGATAGGGAGCCTAGTGATGAAGGTTGGTTGAATGGCTTTCTCTATATTTAAAGGCACTTTTGGAACTCTTTTTTCTCATTAAAACACTTTCAAAAAGTCTATTGCATGAAAAAGATTTGTGGGTTATGTATACAACAACATGGACAATGGAAGACAGTCATTGAATTGTTGCTTGTAGATATACTGTAGATGGTAAATGAGGGCATTGAATTGTTACTTGTAAGTATACTGTAGATGGTAGATGAGGGCATTGAATTGATGATTGTATGTATAGATGAGGGTATTGAATTATTGCTTCTAGGTATAGATGAGGGCATTGATCTAGAGAACTGTGCTTCAGGGGCATCAACAGCAAGCAGTGACTTCTCCAGTGTCAATAGTGAGGCAGCAACAAATGACAGGAATCTACAAGCATCTATAGCAAAGGTATATGTTCAATGTTCATACAAAGAAATATTATAGGTTGCTCACACAAGTCAAACATGATTATTTGATCATTATAAATGTGAACTACAGGATGGTATTCATTTTGTTCTAGGGGATTTTTTTTAAAAACATATTTTGCAAGTTAGGTGTCCTACTGTAACGTGTTGAAATCCATATTTTTTCTAATAAATAAACTATTAATTTTCTCGATATATTTAAAATTTTAATGCTGACTGTGATAAAAGATTGGATGTGTGACTCTGAAATGATATCTTATTTTAAGTTATCAGTTGTGTATTACTAGTAAATCTCCCAAGCAAATTGGTATTAATGATTTGTGACTTGTTTATTTATTGTTTTGTCCAGGGCCCATATGAGTATGAGCTGTTCTCCATCATGATCCACTCTGGCAGTGCAGCAGGAGGACACTACTATGCTTACATCAAGTTAGTCATGTTATAGTAGATGCAACTGGAAAGAATCTATATTAAAGTTATTGAAAGTTATTGAACTTATTTTATAAAATTTGATTTAAGATTTGAGATGTTCATTACGTCACCAACATAAGTGGTGACATATTGTTTTAGTTTCCAACTTTTGGCAGGTGGCAGATGGCAACAAATGGCAGGTAGTGACATTTTGCATGTTAATGCCTTGTTTTGAGTTTACTATGACAACAGTAAGTAGAATTACTTATTTATGTTTACTTTAATTTCTAACTTCATTTCCAGATCATTTACTGATGGCCACTGGTACAGCTTTAATGATCAACATGTGACTAAGGTAAGAAACAAAATTTGTTATAGTCAGGTAATTTAACATATGCTTTATATTACAGATTCTGATGTAGATTAGACATAGATACTAGAATGATCTTGATTGGACATCAGGGTGCAGAGAAATCGTAATTTTACTGAGTGGCTTCATGCAAAAACAAACAGGGTTATAAGCCACTGTAAACAATGTCATATGCAGCTTCAATCATAAACTTTTGTGGAGAGAAATGAATTTTAGTTACTTATAAGCAGAAATTAAGTGTTGTGTTTTTCTGGCTACATATGTGGTGGGGTCTATAAATTGTACTACCAGTAACACATACAAAATAAAATATTTTCAGATTACATATGATGACATTAGGAAAACATATGGAGGTATAGGTGGCAGCAGGGGTTACTATTCATCAGCATATGCTAGGTAGGAACATGTATGGTAATCATACCAATTGAAAAATGAAAATAATCAATTTTTTCTCATGGGACAATAATATTTTAGCAATATTTTACTATCCATATAACTTAAATCCTGAATTACTATCATCATTATTTACTATATTTAACAGATTGAAAGTTTTGTTTATAACTTGAGAAATATGTAAAACAGACATCAACACATGAAGAACCTTTTATTAACTACTTTAAGGTGAGTCTTGTGTGCGATAATGTTTCCACCTGTTCACACATTACAAATTGATTGTGTTCTGCCTACCTTAAACCAGCTATAACTGTTTTTCTGTTCTAGTTCTACTAACTGCTATATGTTGATGTATCGCCAAATAGACAAGAAAAGGAATGCAGATTTCATGCAACCACTAGACTTTCCTAAGCACCTTGTGAAACAACACCAAGCCCTTCAGTCAGAAGCTGAAGAGGAAACCAGGAGGAGGGAGATGGACAGGTGTATGTGTAAGGTTAGTGGTTAAGCATTATCACATTTTCTGATTTTGTGTCTATGTAATGGTACATAATAAGTATTTAATTTTTTTATTATACATTATTCTGTAACCACCAGAAGTTGTGACATATTTTCGCTACCTCCAACTTTTCTGTGGGTGGTGTTTAGCATCTGTAACAAATTCTTACAAATTCAATAGCTCAACAAGCTCTGTTTAGACTGACTTTTACTGTCAACATATGTCAACATGTTATGAGTTCTAACACATTACTGACAATATCTGTTACCATGGCAGCAAATAAGTGGGCATTGAAAATCAATATATATATGTGAATATGCAGGTATTCAAATCCTATACTATTCAATATCCAATAATGACATTGCCCTGTTTATCTTTCTAGATCAAGCTGTTCTGTTATCACCCAGAGTTGCAGAAACAGATTGAGACAAAGCTAGAAATCCACAAAGACAGAACTCTGAAGGAAGCCACAGAGGCCGCATATAAGGTTAGTAGACACACAGCAATCCAAGCTTCAGTTACATCATACATTTTGAGGCCAATAATATTCTCTCAGCATCTGAAAAACTTATTGAACAAGCAGAGGGCCTTTACACATTTAGTTTCACCAAAACCATTAATATTTTAACTCCACACTTTACTGGACTGCACATGTATTTAACATTTTGACTTGACACATTACTGAACTGCATATGTATTTAACATTTTGATTCAACACTATACTGAACTGCACATGTATTACAGCAATTAGACTTGGAGAACATAGTCCAGCTGGATTACTGCAGACTTGTAAAATATGATGAGTACCACGACTCACTTGAGAAATCCTATGAAGGAGAAGAGGAGACCCCAATGGGAGTGCTCCTGGGTGGAGTGAAACAATCATACACATTTGATCTTCTAATGGAGATACGCAGAGAGGGACAGAAGTTTCAGCCTTATAAACCTGGAGGTATTAGATTGTTATACAGTGATAACTTAAAGCTGAGGGGTAGAATTTGAACATGATTAGTGCTGTATTGACAAAAGGACAGCATTTATCCTTTTGGGACACCCTGTATGTTGGTGAAAAAATGAAACTACAATGATCAGTCACTTCTAAGATATGCATAACTCTAACTTGAGAAAAAGAGAACTTTAATCTGGGAGAAAATAGAAAATATGTTAACAATTATAAATCAGTTAAAATGATTACTGTACGCCTGGTATTATTCGCGTGCGATTAACTTTTGCGCTTTTCGCGATGGTGTTAAAATCGCGAAAAATTATCGTCGCGAAATTGCCAATTAAATCCCCGGGAATTTGTTATTACCCGGGTCTCTGATGCATTTCGTTTTGTGTTGATACTCTCACGATTCTTGATGTTGTGAGTACAAAATTCGAATAACTACTAGTAATACAAAATACGAATTCAAACTGCTTTTTCGTTTTAAAATAAGACCGAAATTAACGATGCGATAATAGAAGTTGATATGCAGCTTGCCGATGATAAAGATCCCAGTTATTGTAAATCTGATCCAACTATGACATCAGGTAAGTGCAATTACTGTACATCTACTAGTAATTTAGCTTGAGAATTCTGAGAATAATGAATTTCAAACTTGTGAAATTCGCGAAATTTGATAGCCGCGAAACCGTGTTTTCGCAAAATTCGCGAAATTAAAGCTTGCGAATAATACCGGGCGTACAGTATTGCACAGATGAAACACTGATTGCAGTTGTGATTTTTGATTATTGCGTTTATAGGTGTAACAGTAAAGGTGTTTAAGATAGACCTGGATACAGAGACCATACATAACCCAGTCAGCATGCGGGCCTATTTAACACAGACCATATCTGACTTTAAAACAATGATTGCACAGGTAAGCAATGATTATATCTGTAAAACAGTGAATGCTTGGGTTGGACAACAATTTTTTTGTTAAAGAAATCATAGTTTTGTGAACTTTGATTGCAGATGTAAAGCAATGTCTGTTCAAGTGAAAAAATTGTAATAATCTAAAATAATCCTCAATTGAATATTTATACTTAACTTCGTTTGCTGTCATGTTATAAAACTTTAACGCTTATTTTGCAGCACTTTGGTGTGAGTAATACAGGTGATCTCCGCTGTGTGTTGGAGCGTTATGTGAATGATCTAAGACTGCTGTGTGTGCCTCATAAGACACTCAAGTCAGAGGGCTTCTTCAGAAGTAACAAGGTAGAAGCTAAAATGATTCACTCACATCTGTAGAACGAGAATGTAGAACTATTGGCCATTAGTTAAACAAATGCTATGTTCTTTAAAGCAATAAAACTATTGTGCCATGCCACATTCAATGTGTTGCTATGTTCAGGGTCATTTAAAATTCAGTCTAGTATGGGCCATAGAGATACATGCGAGATTTTTTTTGTGAAAATTTGAGTGAGAAATATGTTTTAGAGCATAATTAGCTTTACATGTTCAACACCCTGTATTTCAATCAATTTGGTCTCTTGCAGATATAGTTGTAATACAAAATTAATGTCATCCAATATTCATTTCTGGTGCAGTTTTGATGCAGTACAATATCTAGAAACATTAATTTAGCAAATATTTGCAGGTGTTTGTGGAATGCTCGGGCTCAGAGACAGATGACAAATCACTTTTCCCAGAGACACATCTGTTTCGTCTGTTGGATCGCTATGAGAACACAATACGCATACTCGTCAATATACCTACAGAGTTAAAGGGTAATGAATGTATATAAATAGTTGATATATATATATTGGATCATCTTGTTCATGTATTTCTACTGAAATTTTAAGAAACAAAGATTAAATAGTGTAGTATGCCTGGAAAAAATTGATATTTTTTAAGCCTAGAACCTCAACATAAAAGTTAATACGGCCACTTGTAAAATGCATATTGAATTCAATTTAAAGTGCTTTTGAACTCCTTTGCACCTTACACTTTTGTTAACAAATTTGTTTCATTTAATTGAAGATGTTGTTAATATTTCTCTTTTATCTTCCATTCCAGTAAAATATCACCTCAAGCTTATAGAAGAGAATCAGTCACGTCTTAATGCAGTACTTACTTATCCTAGCCAATCAAATCAAAGAACTGAGTCACATGACATCGATGAAGGCATTGATGACCCAAATGACCTTAGTAGCCCATCAGCCAATTATGACACTTCATTGTACAGGACTAGGGCTAAAAGCAATGATATACACAGGGCAATTAGTGACACAATACATAGGGAAAATATAAGGCAATCGGGTCCAGATGGCTCATGTACAGATAGTATATCAGACATTACTACATCTGTATCATATGACACACCTGTAAGTGAGAATCAAGAAACTCTATCAGTATCAGAGACTGAGGCACAAGTATTAGACTCTGGAGAAACCAGCATGCAACATAACAAACATGAAATTTTAGATACAGCTGGGTCAAATATAAGCTCCGCAGATGTGGGGGCTAGTATAAGTAATGATGCCCAGGCAGGTACGAGTGGAAGTATTGAGGGGGACGTCCAAGGGCCACAGGATGCAGGCCCTGGGGTGGAACAAGGAGCAGGGGACACCCTGGCAGGAACAAGTGCCATAGAAGTCGCTGAGGAAGCTGGGGCTGATGGTCCACAAGAGGAAGAAGAGGAAGAGAAGTGGTACTTCAGTGCTGAGCTTCATATAGATCCACTTACCTTCTATAGATGTAAGAAATGTTTCATCCTTTTCATATTTGTCTCACCATCAAGAAGTTGTAGCATTTTGTGAAAGCATTTTCTTTTGTGTTCAGTGGTTAGCATCTGTGAAACATTGCCACTCTTTTGTAACCTTTTGCAGGTGGTGACATTTTGTCTTATTAATGCCATATTGAAAAAATTTCAGTAAACATCAATTTATTTGGTTCATTTATATCATTATCGTTAATCTATAAAATAAATCATTGATAATATACTTACTATTCATATACATCTGTAACAATGTTTGGATTAGTTGATTGAGGAATTTTTCATCAACATCAATTTTATTTCTAGCTCTTACAGTATTTGTTGACAAGCGGATCACACTCGCAGCTCTAAAAGCAGAGTTACAGTCATATGTAGGGGTCTCCTGTGAGCAATTCAAGGTTTACAGAGTCTATAGTAACAGTCAGGAGTTTGAATGCACCAGACTTTCTGAGAACCTCACATCTTATGGAGATGAAAGCAAGGTAAGACCCCTTCAACTAAATTGTAGTACATAATAAGACCCCTTCAACTAGATTGTAGTACATTTTGACTTTGAAGTTCAATCAAGAAAATTGCTTTGTGAAATATTTTTTATCTTTTTGTTAATAAAATGCATCATATTGGAGATGCAAATAATTATATCCCCTGTTTTTAGCTCACATGGTGAGCTATTGCAATTGCTCACTTGTCCGTCTGTCTGTCCGTCCGTCCGTCTGTCTGTCCGTCAACAATAGTGGCACGTTTTAAAACCTCTGTCGATAGGATTCCTGTTTTAAGTTATTTCTGTTCAACATCAATACAGAAAACCCCCCTATGACTCCTTGTTCAAAAGCTCGCCTACTTTCAAAATGGCCGTCACTTTTGTCTCGCGAAATTCACTTTTAGCCCATTTCCTAGCTAACCTCTGTCGATAGGATTCCTGTTTTAAGTTATTTCTGTTCAACATCAATACAGAAAACCCCCCTATGACTCCTGGTTCAAAAGCTCGCCTATTTTCAAAATGGCCGTCACTTTTGTCTCGCGAAATTCACTTTTGGCTCATTTCCTAGCTTTACAAATAATTTCAGGTGTCCTACATTGTAAAAATCCATGTCAATGTAAAGATTAGATATATGAAATAATTTTGTTACAAAAAATCAGCGAAAAATTGTACCCATTTTTTTATTTTCAGCCATTTTAGTTAACATTGATTTGTCTATCTGACTCGCGAAATCCACTTTCTGTCAATAACAGTGGCACGTTTTAAAACCTCTGTCGATAGGATTCCTGTTTTAAGTTATTTCTGTTCAACATGAATTCAGAAAACTCCCCTATGACTCCTGGTTCAAAAGCTCGCCTATTTTCAAAATGGCCGCCATTTTTGTCTCGCGAAATTCACTTTTGACCCATTTCCTAGCTTTACAAATAATTTCAAGTGTCCTACATTGTAAAAATCCATGTCAATGTAAAGAGTAGATGTATGAAATAATTTTGTTACAAAAAATCAGCGAAAAATCATATCCATTTATTTATTTTCAGCCATTTTAGTTAACATTGATTTGTCCATCTGTCTCGCAAAATCCACTTTTAGACCATTTACCTTAAACCCTCTGTCGATAGGATTCCCATTTTAAGTTAATTTTGTTCAACATCAATACAAAAAACTCTCCTATGACTCCTGGTTCAAAAGCTCGCCTATTTTCAAAATGGTTGCCATTCTTGTTTCGCGAAATTCACTTTTTGCCCATTTCCTAGCTTTACAAATAATTTCAGCTGTCCTGCATTGTAAAAAGCCATGTCACTGTAAAAGGTAGTTGTATGAAATAATTTTGTTACAAAAAATCGGCAAAATATTATATCCGTTTTTTTTTTCAGCCATTTTAGTTAACATTGATTAGTCCATCTGTCTCGCGAAATCCTCTTTTGGACCATTTGCTTAAAACCTCTGTCGATAGGATTCCAGTTTCAAGTTATTTTTGTTCAACATCAATACAAAAAACTCCCCTATGACTCCTGGTTCAAAAGCTTGCCTGATTTCAAAATGGTCGCCATTTTTGTCTCGCGAAATTCAATTTTGGCCCATTTCCTAGCTTTACAAATAATTTCAGGTGTCTTGCATTGCAAAAAGCCATGTCATTGTAAAGAGTAGTTGTATGAAATAATTTTGTTACAAATTATTGGCAAAAAATTATATCCGTTTTTTTTTCAGCCATTTTAATTGACTGAGAGACAGATGGCTTGAAATAATTTTGTAACAAAAAATCAGCAAAAAATGTGACCATGTGAGCCCAGTACCCACGGTACTAATTTTTTTTATAATAGTTTGACTCAAATAAAGATCTCACTATTGAGTGCCTATGCTATATCAACATGACTTATATTCCAGTTGAATGTGAAGCTTGGAAGAGCGTTGAAGAAAGGAGAGTATAGAGTCAAAGTCTACCAATTAGTCACCGATGAACAAGAAGTAAGTTCAAATAATGTAAAACATAATTTTATTATTCAACTTTATTTTGTTGAAATCTAAATTCAAGAAATGAACTCCGCAAACAAACGGGTTGGCAGAGGCGATAAGTGGAAAATCATGGAAGCAAAATTAAACAAATGAAACTGATGATTTTTTCCTTTAAATAAAAAAATGCCAATGGTATAACGTCTCTAAAAGACTAAATATTTAACCAATACTGTATTGTAAAATTGTAAAATGCAGGTTTACCATGTAACTGTACTGTAATTGTTTTTTGCAGTTGCTTTAACATGCTTATTCTTTGAAATAAAAAAATAATAAAAAAAAAAATAACACATTTATTTATGTATCCTATTTATTAAAGTGTGACCACATTCAAAGCTGCACTTTCAAACTATGGTTGGCTTTTCGCGTGAAATCATATCTTGATGAATTTCTCCATGCTCTCTCGGATACATTGTCCAGATGGACATATGAACTGAAGTCTGACATTTGTGCCTAAAGGATTATTGTGAACTTTGAAAGTGAAAGATTGTCTAGTAATTGTATTCAACATTTATCTCCACGAGACAATACAGAGAGATATTTTGTTTTCAGCCTGGGAAGTTTCTCTTAGACACCATATTTGCCAAGGGGATGACAGTTCTAGAATCTAAAAAGTTGATTTTACCCGAGATACAAGCTCTGTGTGGGCCCGACTGTACTGCAGAAAGGTAACTTTTTTAAGAATGCTGTAACACACCAGATTCCCCAATAGAATAAAGTATCTTTTATTCCAATTAATCATATGTGAAATAAGAAACTAGAGATAATTGCATGGGAGAGTCCAATAAGAATGAGCACAAGGGAACTACCATAGGCTGCACTTAGTTGGAAATTTTGTTTAATATAACAACACATTTCAGTTAAAGTTCATGTATATTATTGCTCCAGTATCCGACTAAGGAGGAAAACGTGGAAAAATCCGGGCACAATCTACCTGAATGAACAACGCTACGAGGATGACATCCCTATCTTTGCAAACTGGGAGATCTTCCTTGAAGTCCTGGATGGCCCCGATAGGATCCAGGTTTCCTCTCAGCTTGCAGTGTTTGCCCGCCAGTGGCACCCATCTAGTCACACTATAGATGGCTTTCAAGAGGTTGTATTGGATACAACAAACACAGAAGAGCTGAGAGAAAAGGTTCTTATTCATTTATGACTAATAATTGAATCTGTGTACTTAACTTCAAGTTTTGAAATGTCAGAGCTCATAGTTTGATTAAACTTATCTTTTATGTTACTTTACAGATTGGTAAGGTGTATCAAACTGTTGTTACATTATGACATCTGTCATACACTTTATTACTAGAGAAATTGTGTGTTTGTTTCCAGTTGTCTGAGATCAGTGATATCCCAGTTGAGGACATTGAGTTTGCCAAAGGACGTGGCACCTTTCCATGTGAAGTGTCAGTGCTAGAAATACAAACAGATCTAGACTGGAACCCTGATGTCAGCCAACTTAATGTGTGGCCGTTGTACATATGTGATGATGGCAATCTAGTCTACTACAGGTGAGTGAATGTCTGGCCATTGTACATATGCGATGACAGCAATCTAGTCTACTACAGGTAAGTGAATGTCTGACCATTGTACATATGTGATGATGGCAATCTAGTCTACTACAGGTGAGTGAATGTCTGGCCATTGTACATATGTGATGATGGCAATCTAGTCTACTACAGGTGAGTGAATGTCTGGCCATTGTACATATGTGATCATGGCAATCTAGTCTACTACAGGTGAATGAATGTCTGGCCATTGTACATATGTGATGATGGCAATCTAGTCTACTACAGGTGAGTGAATGTCTGGCCATTGTACATATGTGATGATGGCAATCTAGTCTACTACAGGTGAGTGAATGTCTGGCCATTGTACATATGTGATGATGGCAATCTAGTCTACTACATGTGAGTGAATGTCTGGCCATTTTACATATGTGATGATGGCAATCTAGTCTACTACAGGTGAGTGAATGTCTGGCCATTGTACATATGTGATGACGGCAATCTAGTCTACTACAGGTGAGTGAATGTCTGGCCATTGTACATATGTGATGATGGCAATCTAGTCTACTACAGGTGAGTGAATGTCTGGCCATTGTACATATGTGATGATGGCAATCTAGTCTACTACATGTGAGTGAATGTCTGGCCATTGTACATATGTGATGATGGCAATCTAGTCTACTACAGGTGAGTGAATGTCTGACCATTGTACAAATGTGATGATGGCAATCTAGTCTACTACAGGGGAGTGAATATCTGGCCATTGTACATATGTGATGATGGCAATCTAGTCTACTACAGGTGAGTGAATGTCTGGCCATTGTACATATGTGATGATGGTAATCTAGTCTACTACAGGTGAGTGAATGTCTGGCCATTGTGCATATGTGATGATGGCAATCTAGTCTACTACAGGTGAGTGAATATCTGGCCATTGTACATATGTGATGATGGCAATCTAGTCTACTACAGGTGAGTGAATGTCTGGCCATTGTACACATGTAATAATGATGGGAATCTAGCCTAGTCTACTATAGGGGAGTGAATGTCTAGTCCATGGATAAGCGTATAATGGTATTAATGCAAAAATGCTGTATTTTGAAATGCTGTTTTTGCACCTTATGCCCTGTATGGACTGGCAAGTGAAATGTTCAAAATGCAAGAAATATATTGATACTGCTTGAAATGAAAAGGAAACCAAAATTACATTTGTACTTTTTATTCAGAGACAAGAAGGAAGCAACGGCAGAATTAGATGAGGAGAAGAAGAAAGAAATACAACAAAAAGAAAATGCAAAGTGAGTTAGTTAGTTGACTGTCAATTTGTCTATTATTAAAAGAAACTCTATGAACAGTGGTAAAATTTAATTTTCCTTTGAACACAACCTTTACTTTCTGTGGAATGTTATCTTCCTCGAGAAGTTTGCTGCTTGATGTAGTATGTCATTAAGGGTCATATATGCTGCTCTAATATATGGCTCTGTTGGAAGAAATTATATGTCAAAATGTGCCAAACACTTCTGTTTTATTTTAAATGATGAATTCAGAATCAAAACAGCTCAGTGACCTGCCAATCAATGCTTTAGGTACCCATACAAGCTCAATGACCTGCCAATCAATGCTTTAGGCACCCATACAAGCTCAATGACCTGCCAATCAATGCTTTAGGCACCCATACAAGCTCAATGACCTGCCAATCAATGCTTTAGGCACCCCTACAAGTTTTTTTCTCTGTTTCAACATTATTTTGATACATCATATATATACACCTCATCATTCCAGGTTGTCAAAAGTTAGCCAAAGAATTGCTTACTCACCGAGAAAAGAAAGAGCTCTGAAAATCTACACAGATGATACTCCCAACAGGACAAACGCTGATGTAGACTAAGGGCTACATATAAGGCTAAGGAAATATATTCTTTTGGTTTGAAATGCAGCTAGGAGTCTCAATAAGTTCCTTATGATTGGGAACTATTTTGTAATAAACTATACCCATTTATCATTAAAGTTGGGGAGGAGATTGCAAGGAATATCTTCCTCTAAGATGCCAAAGATTCATGATGATCTTATCAAAAGTAACAAGCTACCAGGATTCAAGTTCTCCAAATATTGTAGTGTCGCAGATCAATCAATTGATCTTTCTCATATTTATGGAGTTATTGAAAACAAGACAAATGACTTAAGAATCCATAACTTAAATGAGGTTGGAGGATGTGACCCAAGAATATATTTACTTAGCCTGAGATGTGAATTCAGCCAAAAAGTGCCACTATTTAAAATATGTAACTGGATAAAGTGTTGCTTCATTAATATTATTGTAGAGGAAAATAATTCAGGAAGCGTTTAAATTGTGAATTATTTTTCAATAACGTAGAAATAACCATATATCTTCTACCTTGACTGGAACGCTGTAAGTTTTGCCAACTAAGTAGATGTATAGTGTGTTCATTGAAAATCCTATTGATTTATTGATTTCAGCAGATTTTATCAGGCCTAATGAGAAGAGCAAAGCTTAAACAGAAAAATTGATGGAGTCACAAATTAGAATACATCTAATTTGCAAGTAGAGTATAATAAAGCAAAAACCAGACCTTCATTCTTTTTGGTCCAATAAATGCGTAACTTATTCAATGCACAAATACTATAAAATGCTTCTAAATAGTATATATGTATATTGGGTGTCTCAGTTTTTGGGGACAACCGATAAAGATTCTAATTTTGGGCATTCTTGGTTGTCATTTTCACTTAGTTTGGCATTTAACTGAACTAAGAATAATGTAATGACATTTTACAACCTGATGTCACGTGATGCGAGTCCCTGGACATTTTTCAATACTTCAAAGTATTTTTTCAACACTTACATATTGTAGTAATACAGTAAAGGCAAGAGTATCAAGTTCATGTTTCGAAAATGAGTACATTTCAAAATTACCGCACAAAGCCCTACCTTAACTTGAAGTTTGTGGACATAAATGTAATAAAAGATGCACAAAAGTTTACCCAAATCCTTGATAACCTATTTGAAATACCCAAATATAGGAGATATTGTGTCTAGCAGGTAAATTGTAATTCATTCAAATGCATGTAGAGTCGCAGCTTAGACTAAATGAATTACACCATGCATTTTAGCGTCCGATGCCATATGATATCAAATGTATATTAAGATATAAAAATAAATGACTTGATAACATTGGCCTACAGTACAAAACAAACTAGTGCACAAAATATTCAAGATATTTGATTTGTACTGAAAGTCAAATGCTCCTGTCATGGAAAATGTGTTTTCTGTGTAAATATGCTAAAGCTTCTAGTTAGCTATTATGACTGAAAACATGTATTAATAATGCATGTTTACATTCATTTGACAATGGCATGTAGAAAATTGTAGTCTGAAGCTCTGGCCAAAAAACATGTATAAATTATAAATTAGATATTACAATGTATTATTGTATTTTGACTGAAAAGTAATAAATATTTACATTTGAAACTATTGAAGAATATATTTGCTATTTCAATGATTTATTCATGAGAGGAATGGTCCTTGGTAACCCTCTATTTTATTCAAATGAAATGTTCCAAAGGCTTCAGTATAGTCCCTACATTGCATTACATTAATATTTCACCAAATAAAGTTACCTATCTGGTTGGTATAAAGACGCTTCAACCCAAAGATATTTCATTCCCTCGATGTTTCATCCTTAATGCCTAGGTCACATAGCCGCCGGGCGCCGGCCGATGAGTAGTCATCGGCCGATTTATAAATCGACCGGGCGCCGGTGACTTTTCACCGATGTCTTGATCTAATCGTGAGTATGGTCACATTAGTACAGGCATCGTACGGCGCCCGCAATCAATTGAATCTGAAAGACATCGCGCGGGTATCGCAAGGCTATCTGCCGATGGCCGTACGGCACCCGCCAGGACATCGGTCGATCTACAGGCCTCTAGATTTATACTAAATTCTTGTATGACCCAGTTTGACTGTTCCACATGGCATGAATGCAAGATTTGAAAACGAAATACTTCGATAGACAGGACTTCCAGGATAATAATGTTTTCATGCAATAAAAATCAGAAAAAGAAGATCCTCTAAATAGGTTCAATATTTAGAAGAAAAAAATGCTGACTTGGGGTCCCTATTCATAATTTTTCAAATTGTTTGATTGATATTTTTACTATCATGGATACTTCAATTAAAAGAAAACATATTGTTTTAATAAAAACACTGTATTTATGCCCAGAAAGTACTCATGGTGAAAGATATGACCGTCTAAAATCACTTGCCATACTGCACGTGGTCTTTTCATCAAAGTGCACCCTGACCTTAATTCATTTTTAGATCTTTCATATAAACAAATATTATGTCTACCTGTCCATCCGATGTAGCAAAATTCCCTATTTCTGCATCTTTCTTTTTTCTGTTCTCGTTAATTTGTTTGGTCATAAAAATATGGCCTATCATAAAAAATGGCAATTTTTTCTTTTATTTCAAATGGAAAACCCTCTTCCCTAGACACATCTAAATCTTCATCATCCACCAGTTCACTAGCATTGTTATTGTCTTTTTCCACTTGTCTTCCCAAGGCCTTCCTAATATATGGTCCATTGGCCTTATCCCCTCTATCCTTAGCCTTTGGCATATTAACTGTAATTGAGACAGTAAACTTTCGTATTAAAATTGTGACCCTTGAAAATACTGAACTCACAAAAACATTCAGAAGATTTCTAAAATAAATGATTTGTAATGGTATATGCATGAGTGAATATACGCATAAAATGTATCACTCTATTCAATTTGTATGACAGACATACACGATTAATGTCAATATAAGAACGACTAGATCAACCTACCCACCCACCCAGCCATTCAAATGTGTGTCATTGTTTTACAGTAAGCCTAATCGTTCCATTTATGTTTTATGAAAAATCTCTGACATTGTGTAGTAATTATAATTCCTTACCTCATTATTTCTAAAACCGTTATATCACTTTATAAGTAATCATTATTAAGATTTATCAACAAATCAGCACGCAAAATCCCAAGATGACCGTGCGATACCACCGGGCGCCGTAAGATAATCGTACGATGACCGGACGGGACACGGCCGGGTAGGTACCGATGACTTTGGTTGAGACAAAAATCGCCAAGACATCGGCAACTTTTATCTCCGCGATAAAACTCTGCCGGCGCCCGTACGATGTCTAAAAATCGGCCGATGAGTGGCGATCATCGCCCGGCGCCCGTACGATGCCCGGGCTCGCCGGCCGATTTTGAACAAAATACTCATCGGCCGGGCGCCGTAGTGAAAATCGGAGCCTATGTGACCAAGGCATTAGATGTTTCATCGACGGACTTTTGACCCCAAGGCATTTCCCCCAGATGCCTCTCCCCTGCATATACACGTAAAACAACGAATCAACAAACGGACTGATGAAGGACGAATGAATGAAAGAACAAAATCCATCAACTAGTATTTGAGTTCTCAAAAATTAGTTTTTTCCGAAAAATCGCGGCCATTTTGAATTGAGCGGCCATTTTGAAAATTCCTTCTCGAGCAGAGGTCCTACACGGGAAAGGCGTCAACAGGCATAATTTATTGTTCGTATATTACTTTTATCGTTCAAATAAAGGCAATAAATACGATTTACATACTCCATAATAAACATTGGATCAATATGGTCTGTATTGATAAGTTACTGTACAATTACTCCTGTCATGGGGGTCGAAATACATCATTAAAGGTGTTCTAGTGGCCCCACTGAAAAAATATTCAAAATGTAATGTGTCGACAGCGGATATTTGGCAGATTTTGGGGTAAAAAACTCTGTTTTAAAAAAGAACGCGCAAGAACTGTGAAAGAAGTGAACTTGATTTGAAAACTTCATTAAAGCAGCTTTAAAATGATATATAATTTTAATTAGAATATTATCTTATATTCCGAAGAATTAGAGTTACATTCATGCGATACATTAAAAACACAAGTGCGCCAGCTATTTGCGACGTGTCATTTCATTCTATGCATGGCAACATCGCAAATCAGGCAGTTTGATTCATCTGTCAGCGTCGTCATAAAATTCTTAACCAACCGTCCGTTCGATCGTGCGTTCGTTCAACCGTCCGTCCGTTCGTGCATACATGCGTTAGTTCGATCGTGCTTTCTTTCGTCCGACTGTCCGTTCGTTCATGGGTGCGTCCGTCTGAACGTCCATTCGTCCGTTGGTCCGTGCGTTCGTTTGTTCGACCGTCCGTTCATGCGTGCTTTCGTCCGGCCGTTTTTGCGCGCGTTCTTCTGGCAGTCCGTCCAAGCGTTCGTCTGATCGTTCGTGCGTGGGTACGTTCATTCGTACGTTTGTGGATTTATTTGTGCATGCGTTCGTTCGTGCGTGCGTTCCTGCATACGTTCGTGTGAGGGTTCGTTCGTTTTTTGTTCGTAAATACTTTTGCGTTCGTTCGTGTGCACGTACATTCGTGCGTTCGTTCGTGCCTGCGTTCATGCGTGCGTAGGTTCGTTCGTTTCTAATTTCTTTGCTTCTATCTTGCGTTCGTGCGTTGGTCCATTCGCCAATCCCTCCGTTTGTTCATTCATTGTTTTTTCTGCCGTCCTTCCATCCATCCGTCCGTTCTTTCCTTGTTCGTTTGCAGGTTTTCCACAAAATATGTCTTTCCACTTGGAGAGTTAGTAAGTATAATCAAGCAAGCAAGAAAGCAAGCAGACAAAAGAAGTAAATTGAACAAGCATGGAAGTAATTTAGCAAGCAAGCAAATAAGGAAGGAATGGAGGAAGTAATCGAGGAAGTGATAAAGGAAGTATAATAGTAGTAAGCAAGAAGGGCGGAGTGAAGGAAGGAATAGGTAAGGAAGAATCGAAGCAAGGAAGGAAGAATTGAAAAAAAATAAAGGAAGGAGGGAGGGAACGAAAAGGGTAGAACGAAGAGGAAGTAAGGTAGTAAGTAAGGGAAGAAGGTAGGAAGAAAGGAAGGAAGGGGGAGAGGGAGGAAAGAAGTAAGGAAGGAAGTTAAGAAAGAGGTAGAAAGGGAGAATGGGCGAAAGGATTGGGTATGAACGAATGAAGGAAGTAGGAAGGAAGTGAGGAAAGAAATAAGCATACAAGGAAGTAAGCAAGGAATGAAGGTAAAAAGTGAATGAGTGCGGGAATGGGTGGGTGAGTTGGTGGGTGGGTGAGTGAGTATGTAAGCTGGCAACGGGAGATTGAGACAAAAATAATATTATTGAATATTTTTCTGACTTAATCGTTTTAGGATGACCTAAATGCAAGCTTACGCGTGAATCTTGCTGAATATCGACTTTGTACTCATTACAGACAGGGTGTCAAATAAGTCCCGCCCCCCCCCCCCCCCCCGCTACAGCTAAAACCTTAATAGATGATACCTAGTGTGATATACCATTGGAAAGATCATCCAAAAATATGTTAACTCACCTACTCTTGAAGTATTTTGGATGAAATTTACCTATATT